TTTAGTTTGTAGGTTCCTGGTTTGATGATGGCCGCCACGATGTAGGGGCCTTCGAACTTTGGTGCCATCTTTCCGCCCTCGGTTGGTTGGCTAGCTTACCTTCTTCGGAGGACATAGTCCCCCACTTGGAATTCACGGGAACGGACTTTGGCATCAACGTAACTCTTCACTTGCCTTCGGTAGTTTTCTGCGCGCATGAAGGCTTGCTCTTGGCGTTCTGAAATAAGGTGGAGGTCGAGGGCCATATTGATGTCGTTGGCCTCAGGATCATATTGTGTGACCCTTCTGGTTGGGAGAGTTACCTCGGTGGGGGCCTTAGCTTCAAATCCGTAGCAAAGGGAGAAGGGTGTCTCGCCAGTTGTCCGCCGAGGGGTGGTACGATAGGCCCATAAGATGTTGTGGAGTTCTTCTACCCAACCACCCCCTTCGGCCTCCAGTTTCTTCTTTAGGCCCTCGAGCAAGGTCTTGTTGGCGTTCTCCACTTGACCGTTGTCCTGAGGCTAGGCAACGGATGAGAAGATGTGTTTGATGCCCCATGCCTCCAGGAGGGCACAGAAGGGGGCTGCTTCGAACTGAGTCCCGTTGTCGGAGATGATTTGCTGGGGGACGCCAAACCTTGTGAGGATGTTCTTGAGAACAAAATGACGGCACCTGGCCTCAGTAATGCTGGCGAGGGGCTCAGCTTCCACCCATTTGGTGAAGTAATCGATGGCGACGATGATGTACCTGTTGTTGGAGGTACCCCTCGGCAGAGGACCCACAAGGTCTATGCCCCATCGAGCGAAGGGTATGGATGTACTGATGGGGGCATAGTTGACCGCCGGCCTGCCGGGGGCTTTCTGGAAGTGTTGGCATGCGGAACACCTTCGGAACACTGATGGGGCCAAGAAAATCAGTGGACCCGGTCGGGTCCCCTACTTGACCCGGTCGGGTCAGATGTGACCCGGGACAAAACGACGTGCGAAGATCACCAGAACGTGGCGGATTATCTGATTTTGACCGGACCTGGTCGGGTAAGTACTTGACCCGGTCGGGTACCCGGCCAAAGGTGTTGAAAAACACCTATAAATAGCACACTTTTTTTCTCTAAAAATCATCCCTTCTTTCATACTCCTAAGCTCAGTTTAGAATAGCATTTCTTTATATTTTTCTAGCTATGTTTAGTCTCCAAATGAGGAGCTAAACTTCCAATTCTTTGTGTTGCTCTTGAAGCTTGTTGATTATTAAAGTTGTGAGTTATTTTCTTAAACTTCTTCCCTTGAATATTAATTATTAGTTCTTTCCTTAATACTATCTCTATATTAATGTTGGGGAGTGTTGGTAAGATGACAATTAGCTAACATCTTGACATTAGTTATAGTAGTATTTTCTTCCTCTATATTAATGTTGGGGAGTGTTGCTAAGCTGACAATTAGTTAACATCTTGATATTAATTATGGTAGGATTCATCTTCTTTAATAATATTCTTCCTTGAATATTAATTAATTCCTATTCATATTTCATATTAATATTTTGAACATTACTTAAAGGATCAACTAGTTTTGTTTCATATATTAATTATTATTAGAAACGATCAACGAACCGATGGTTAATCGTTGATGGTTTCACAAGTAACTTCGGTTTATTAATGCACGGTCGTGGTTAATAAACTTAAGAGGGATTAATTTTGTTGGTTAAACCGAAACCGTTGTGTTGAGGTTATCAATCTCAATTGATTTCATCAAGGAGTTAGAAATATTAAATGCTACTATTAAATCGGTATAAGGAGTTGTTCTATATTTGATTAATAGTAAGGGTTATTAATGAACGATCGTTGTTAATAACTACCATCGATGAAGTGGATATACTCCCTGATTGAGTATTCGAGAGGGAATAAGTTATAGAGGCAACAATGATCGACTAAAATATATCAACAAGTGGAAAGTAGCAATGCCAAGTCCTTTTTATCTTTGAATTAAACACATATAGGTTGTTCATCTTAGTTCTTAATTAAATTAAATCATTCAAACCCAAAACCCCCCTTTTATTTATTAAGTTCATAAAAAGAGAATTATTTCCTTTCCCTGTGGATACGAACTCTACTACGCTATACTACGTATAAGTGTTAGTATTGGATTTATTTTGACACACCGTGACAAAGTGCTCGTCACTCTACATGACTGCACTACAGGTCATAATCAATGCACTTTCCGCCAACGTTATGACATGATCTATTGTCTTCGATTCACTGTACAACACACTTCATCAATGCATTCATTCACTGCCCACATACAACATTATGTATTGTCATAATGACTCCCCATATTCAACCATATTTATTGCCATGTTCATTGGTCATGCTCCCCTCTCTTAACCACTCATGTTTAATGCCCATAAACCTTAATTTTAATAAATCCTAATTTTAAAAATTGAAAAAGAAGAATGAGAATGGAGGCGGGTGGCTGGGCCACAACGGCAACATGGATACGTCCGTGAATATGGAATGGTTGAGAACCTTGTGCCCAGGGGCGGATCCAGGAATGTAGAGTGGGGTGGGCTAAGAAGTAAAAATATTTTATACTACACAAAAAAGGTTTAACTTAGGGTTGTTATCGAACCGATCTTTTTTCAAACTACTCAAGTTCGAGCATGATTTCAAAGTTAATTTAACGGTTCGAGCTTAACGAGTTTCAAACTCGAACATGAGCTAGATTTTGAGTTTGAATAGTTATTCAAGCTGAGTTTGAGCATAGTAACGTTCGGTTCGATTCGGACTCGAACCTATCGATAACTCATAATTATATGAATAAATTATATATATCTTAAAATTAAAACGTTTTCAGTGCGATTTTATAAATTTATAATTTTTATTTAAGATTCTAGAATGTATTAGTATGAATTAAAATACTTATATAATAAAAGTATATATAAAACTACTCCGTAAAAGGTAAAAACATGAGTTGTACATAAAACTAATAAGTATTTCCAATTTCAAAATTGAATTGAGATTTTTAAATGTTCCTTAATTATATGTCTAAACAATAAATAAATTATTCTCTAATCTTCAATTGTATATGTTCAAAAGTCCATTCACCACTTTGACGATCCACTTTTAGAAAAATTGGCTAAATTAACTTCTTCCTTTCTTGGCAATATGTTCATTATCAATTTTGAAAAAACATTTTCAATATTGGTATGAAAACTTCTATAAAATTATATAACTAATAATAAAAAACAATTATTGTAAATAAAACTAATTAGTATTCTCAAATTCAAATATCAATTGAAATTTTTTAATCTTTCGTGTATGTTCACACAATAAATAAATCATTCTCTTATCTTCAATTGTAAAATAAATAAATAAATCTCTAATCTTTAATTTTATGTTTATTCATTACAGATTTATAATGATAAACACTATTTTATTATTATGTACTGAAAAATTCAATTAATAATTAAATAAATTTATAAACCTAAAAATAACAATACACAATATATAACACAGTCACAAATCAATAAATTAAAACATACTCCATCCGTATCTATTTAGATGATCCGTTTGCTTTTCACGGAGTTTAAGATAATTACTATAGACTTTATAAAAAGTAAGAGGTTTTTGGTACTGTAGCGGTACTGTAGCGGTACTGTAGCTGCTTTTTGTGTGGAATTCTTTCCAAAAAAGGAAAGAAGACAATTAATTTGATACACCAAAAAAGGAAAGTGTGACAAGTAAATAGATACGGAGAGAGTAAACGTCAAAAAGAATAATAAACTAATACTCCCTCCGTCCCAATTTGATTTACAAAATTTCCTTTTTTGGTTTTCCCAAAATGGTTTTCCACTTTCTATTTTAGGTATGTAAATAAGAATAAAGTGACAAATTTACCATTACTTTTACTTTTTCCCCATTAAGGTTGTTTTTACTTGAACTGTAATTCGTCCCAGACCAGACCATACCAGACCAAAACAGATCAGACCAGACTAGAGATAATAATAATCTGGTCTGGTCTGGTCTGGTCTGTTTTAGTCTGGTCTGGTCTGTTCTGTTTTGGTCTGGTCTGGTCTGGGACGAATTACAGTCCAAGTAAAAACAACCTTAATTGAGAAAAAGTAAAAGTAATGGTAAATTTATCACTTTATTTTTATTTACATACCTAAAATAGAAAGTGAAAAACCATTTTGGGATAACCAAAATGGAAAGTGCAGTGATTATGACCTGTAGTGCAGTCATGTAGAGCAGTAACACCAGCATGAAATACAATATGTTTAATTCGACTTAAAAATTCTATAATTATTAAATCTAAAAAATAGAAAATAAACACTATAAATAAATTCCTAAAAAGGATGAGAAGAGAACTCATACTGGTGGAAGTGAAGTGATATCTTACCAGATATGCAGTAATTTCGTGTAGTAACGACAATATAAAATGCAGTATTTTTAAGGGGACGATAATAGTGTAAAATGCACATTTTTAAATAAGAATATTGTGGTCATTAAACATTCTAATGCAAACATTTTTTTTGCTTTTCAGTGATACGAATATCTAAAAACATAACTAGTCATAATTAGTGAAACTCAATAAGTTTTAGTCGTAGAGTTTCAGAAACGTTAGACGGCAGATCACAGTTTCTAAAAAAGTGAATTACCTAAATGGAACAACAAAGTGACCAAAGAGCACAAATATGACTATATCATTTTAATCCCTAGTAGGACTATTTATTTGTGTTTGGACACATATATCCTTGTAGCTTTTGAAATGTCTTATTTAAAAAATAAAATCATAAAAAGATAATTAAAAACGTACAGAATTAATATTTCTTTAAAGATACAGAGTAATATTTAAAGAATCGTTAGGTGTATTTATGATAGAAATCAATATTTAGTTCTATTTGAGAATGTTTAAATTGCAGTAGTACAATTAATGTATTTTAGGGAATTTGCGGTGGAGCAATTTTATTTCTAAAAACAATATGTTTGAGAGAAGAAGTCGATCTTAGGTAACAAAAATTTAGGAATCCTTTTTGGTTTAAAACTCCTACCTTTCGTATATATCCAAATAATTCCCGCAGACCGCAGAGAAGCCCTATTATTTCCGCCGACCGCAGTTCCTTTTCTTGGCATCTTCTCTTCTAATATCCGCGACTCCTTCCGGTGAGTCGTCAATCTCATCTACGCTTTGAACTGTTTAAGTTTTCTGTAATTGAGTTTAGTGTTTAATGTTTTAGGGGGTGTTTGGAACTGATTCTGCTTCTAAAAAAACTGATTCTAGGAGTAAATTAGAGCACCAGAATCACTTCTGCATTTTCAGCCAAACACTCCAACTTCTTCTTCTTCTCCCTCAGGTCCAAACACACCCTTATACTCTCTTGGTATGTTTTCTGTAATTTACTATGTGTCTGTGATACTATGTATGAATTATTGTCTTGATTTATTCAAGAGAACCGACATGGAGATGAGCGGAGAAAACAGGGAATAGATGAGTGGCTTCCATAATGTTAGTGACGAGAAAATGAGCAAATAAGCCGCTCCTGATAAAAAAAAGGTCAAATAAGCCCTTATATAGGAGGCACTGTCCAAACGTCCCCATTTTGGAGGTTCCTGATATAAAGTTTTGATACAATTTTTTGAGCATATTATTCATTAAGTCTAGTTTACTCATACCAAATTTCAGCTAAAACTTCAATCGGGAAGACATTCAAATGAATTTTTGAAGAGAACTGAGTAATTAAAAGCGCATTTATCTTCAAGAATTTATTTGAATGTCTTCACAATTGAATTGTTAGCTGAAATTTGGCATGAGTAAACAAAATTTAATGAATAAGATTCTTAAAAAATTTCATCAAAAAATTCCACCGGTAATTGCCCCAAATGACGACGGCCGGACAAAATCTCCTATATAAGGGCCTATTTGACTTGTTTTGGTTAGTACGTGAGATTATATGCCTGTTTTCCCTATTAGTGACTTTGTGCCCATACATACAGAGCATTATATAAGTTTGTATTTTTATATTTATTATTATTTATAATTTTGTTTGGCACTAATATTAGAGAAATTTATGTTTTTATATACTTCATTCGTTTTTAAATAAGTGCAACATGTTGAATTTTACGGTATTCACATGCTTCACTTTGATTAATATTAATGTATTAATAATTTATTTTGATAAAAATATTGTAAAATTTGTCTCATCTTAAATTTTCAAAATCTCACTTTTTAATTTTTAAAAAATTAGATAACTAAATATACTAGTGGTCAAAGTTGTGCGTTGACAAACGTGAAAAGTTAACCGTTACCTTTATTTAAGAAGGAAGGTAGTATGAAATTATTTATTAAAAAAATACTTTTTTTTATATTTATGTGTTTACCCATGTTTCGTGTCCTACTTTTTTTGAAAACGTCGTTTCGCGTGTTTCTGGTTGTGCTACATAGCAATGCAATGAACCCTAGAGCTAAGCTGGTATTTGATCAGGTCCTGAACAACCGATTTATTGATTCGTTACCGATCTAGCCAGCAATTTCTGTTGCTTCAAACTAATCGAAAGCTGCGCAAAACTGCTCACCATCTTCTCCTTTGACATGGAAAGAAGAGGTAACTAAGTAAATACGTTCGTTCATGTTTTTCTGTTCTACTTCCTCCGTCCCTTAAAATTTTGCCAACTTTTCTTTTTTGGACGTCCCACTAACTTTGTCACTTTCTTCTTTAAGTAAAGAGTTTGTGGTTCCGGTTAATTCTTTCTCCCCTGCACAAACCTCAAACACACAGATTTTACTTTAATAATTCTCGTGCCGTTCAAACTTGACAAAGTTTTAAGTGAAGGATGGAGTATGTGACATGCTTTAATTTTCTCAGGTCTGCTTTTCTTCATGTACACGCACACAAATTAGTTTCACACGCGACCTTTAGTGAAAGTAATCACACGCGACCCAATGTTTCTTCTATGCACGTCAAAGAGAACCAATTCATATGAATTAAGACCCAGTTTTTACTCCTGTTTATGAATTAAAGTGCTCCGGATATATGGTTTGAACACAAGATACTTTTATTAAGAAAAAATATATTCAATTGGTTTATTCTAAAACGAGTGCATTTAAAACGCTATAATTTTTATTATGTTCGATGTGAATGCCTCGAGTTGCCATAACCAAGTCTGCCACATATTGTAGTGGAGCTATTATGTGCGGGGGTGTAGCAGGGTATATTGTGGGAGGTAAAAAAGAAATTTAATATAAACTTCAATATATTAAACTTGGTCTTCGTGTTGCTATTGAGCTTGATCACTTGTCACACATACAATGAAAGGGGTGGGGTATTTATAGGATAACCTGTTTACATTAAAAGATGTAACTTCTCGACCTTACATGTTCCTAGATAATAATTACTATAGAAGTTACAAAAAACTTTTCTTATCCCTCGGTAAATAAATGAACCTAGAAATTCACAAGGAATACCAAGAGATTAATAATTAATAACTCCAAGTTTAATTTAATTTAATTTAATTAATATCCAACAAATGTCTCCCTTAAATTAAACTTGCTTCTCACTCCCAAACTTTTTGCGCCTTTTCTGAAGACTTCTGCACTAAGTGGTTTTGTCAAAATATCAGCTCTTTGATCTTCAATCTTGCAATACTCCACTTGAATTTCTCCTTCACTTACAAGCTCTCTCAAGAAATGATATTTGATGCGAATATGTTTTGTCCTTCCATAAAGAACTGGATCCTTTGTGACTGAAATTGTTGAACGGTTGTCACAAAACAATGTAGTTGACTTTTTCTGCTTCTGCTTTAGACTTTTCAAAATTCTCCGCAACCAAACCAGTTGACATCCAGCATAAGATGCTGCGATGTACTCAGCTTCCGTAGTAGAAAGCGCTACAATTATTGTTTCTTCGACCTCCAAGAGATCCCGTCAATGCCAAGATGAAATACATATCCGGAAGTGCTTTTTCTATCATCTATACTTCCGGCTAGATCGCTATCAGTATAACCAACAAGATTGACTGGAACATTTGCTTCATAAAAAATTTCATGATCAATAGTTCCCTTAACATACCTCAAGATTCTCTTGGCCACCTCCCAATGATTTGAACAAGGTTTTTCCATAAATCTACTCACCAGACTAACAGTGTATATACAATGTCGGGCCTTGTGGTAGTAAGATACATCAAATCTCCAACCAAACTTCTGAACAAAGTAGGATTAATGAGCTTGCCTTCGCCTTCCTTAGATAGCTTGAAGCCCGTGATGCATGAAGTAGAGATCGGATTAACATTCTCCATCTTGAATTTCTTTAAAACATCTTTCGCATAGCATTCTTGGGAACTGAATGTTCCCTTCTTACCTTGATGAACTTCGATGCCAAGGAAATGATGAAGCTCACCAAGATGTGTCATCTCAAATTCAGCCATCATCGAGTGCTTGAATTCTTTCATCATCTTCTCATTATTTCCAGTAAAAATGAGATCATCAACGTAGAGACTAACGACCATGAAGCGTCCTTATCTTGAGAGTCGCTTTTGACTTAGAGAGTATGCTCATATGGACATTTATGAAATCCATATTTCATGAAGTAAGAATTCATGCGGTTATACCACCCTCGGGGCGACTGCTTCAAACCATACAAAGCTTTCTTCAACTTGTACACTTTATCTTCTTGCCTTTTCTTGACAAATCCCGGTGGTTGATCAATATACACTTCTTCCTTGAGAACGCCATTCAGAAATGCTGAACTGGTCTGGTCTGGGACGAATTATAGTTCAAGTAAAAACATCCTACATAAGGTACCCGATCGGGTATCTTCAGAATTGTAAACCATAGGCCTACCCGACCGACTTTGAATAGAAATCATAGGTATACCAGATTGGGTGTGTCGGCGTACCCGATCGGGTAAGACAACGGATCGTGGCTAAATCTTCCCCTGCATGTTTCTTTGTGTCCTGGATTGATTCGATTGAAAATCAAGTAGGTACCCGATCAGGTATAGGGTATACCCGACTGGGTACAAGTCAAAATCAGGATCTTTCTTCTTGTCTTGTGCTCTTGCACCTCCCTTCCTCTTTTGGTGTTCACCAATGATCATTTGATTGGTTCTGGACCCGTTTTAGCTCAGAATAGACCTAATCTAAACAAATTACAAATATTTCACAAACAAAACTATTAAACCAAAAGTGTGTAATTTCCAAAGTATCAAACGACAAACTTAACTAAAAACATAAACATACACATGGAAATTACATAGGTATCAATATCCCTTTTCAACTGTCCCCAATCTTCTTGAGATCCAAGAAGAGCCTTCATTTAGATACTCCATTTTGCATAATTTTCTTTATTTAACTAAGGGATAAAAGAAAGAGGAATATTGTTCATATTGATAATTGAGAGTAAGGGCTAATAAAAATATTGTTGTAGTGTGCCTGAATCAAATTCATATTGTTCATATTATTCGTAGTGTGCCTGAATTAAATTCACTACTAAGGGCTAATACCGTAGTATAGCGTAGTAGAGTTCGTATCCACATGGAAAGGTGCTTTTCTTGTATGTGTAAGCGTAATAAATAAATAAAAACAGAAGGGGGAATTGGATATTTTGATAATTGAGAAAAGCAAATAAAATACTTAAATGAGTGAAATAAAATATCAAAGATAATCAGCCTTGGTTTTGCTAATTTCCACTTAGTGAAATGCTCGTTGATCATTGTTACTACTTCAATTATTCTTCTTGAATACTTAATTGTGGAGAAATTCCAAGTCATCTAGAATAGCTATTAATAACGAGACGCGTTCATTAATAACCCTTAATATTAATTAATCATCAATATAGAACACGCGCCATATGTTGATCTTTATAGTAGCATTCGGTCGATTTAATGAAATAAATTAAGAGCGATAACTTGTAACCCAAGGTGAGTATTCTCCACTATCACAATGAGAGTCTCAGGTCTAGTTATTATATCTAATTTATTCATTTGTCATCTGATAAAATCAATTAAGATTAATAACCTCAACACAATCGATTTTTTGGTTTAATCAATATAATTATTCTCTCTTAGATTATTAACCATGAGACGCATGCATTAATAATTTAAGTTTACTGCCTATGAAAGGATCAAGTGAATAACAAGTGTATTCATTGACCGATTCTAGTAATAATTAATGTCAAGATGTTAACTAATTGTCATCTTAGCGACACTCCCCAACATTAATATAGAAATAGTATAAGGGAATAATTAATATTCAAGGGAAGAAGTAAAAAATAAATAATTCATAACTTACAAATCACAAGCTTTAATATAGCAAAACCAAGCTCAAAAGACTACCTAAATTACAAGAATACAGTGTATATGAAAGATGGGATTGATTGGTATCTAAAATGGGAAGGAAATGAGTGTTTTTATAGGAGAAATGAGGTGGTTGGGTCTGATACCCGATCGGGTATGTCAATATACCCGATCGGGTATAAGATAAAATCTGATTTCCCATGTTCTCTTGCTTTATTTGATCTTGTATGATCTTCGGGTCAAATCACACTGACGGGCACTTTGTCGTGGTGTGCGTCAAAATAAATTCAATACGCAGTATATTGAAGTAGAGTTCGTATCCACAGGGAAATGAATATTTTTCTTTTTATGAACTAGTAAATAAAAGGGGGGTTTTGAGATTGAGTGATTCAATTAATTTAATACCAAGATGAACGACTTAATGGTTTTAATTAATGAGATAAAAGACTTGGTTTCACTACTTTCCACTTGTTGATATGTTTGTTGATCCCGGTTATATGTATAACTTATCCCCTCTCGAATACTCAATCAAGGAGTATCTCCAATTCATCGAGGGTAGTTATTAACCACGACTGTGCATTAACAACACTTACTATTAGCCAAATATAGAACACCGCCATATACCGACTTGATAGTAGCATTTATTCTCTTAACTCCTTGATGAAATCAATTGAGATTGATAACCTCAACACAATGGTTTCGATTTAACAAACACAATTAATCCTTCTTAAGATTATTAACCACGACCGTGCATTAATAACCCGAAGTTACTTGTGAAACTATCAATGATTAACCATTGTTAATGTCAAGATGTTAACTAATTGTCATCTTAGCAACACTCCCCAACATTAATATAGAGATAGAATAAGGGAAGAATTAATATTCAAGGGAAGAAGTAAGAAAATAACCCACAACTTTAACATTCAACAAGCTTCAAGAGCAAAACCAAGAAATGAAAGTTTAGCTCCTCATTTGGAGACTAAACATGCTAGAAAATATAAAGAAATGCTGTGTTAAACTGAGCTTAAGAGTATATGTGAATTGGTGATCAAATTGGAAGGAAAAGGGGTGCATTTATAGGTGTTTGGAGGTGGCAGGGTCATTTACCCGACCGGGTTTTTCAGAAACCCGATCGGGTTTCCTAAGTAATTGCCCGGAATCTTCATTAGTCACATCTACCCGATCGATTTTTTGATTTACCTGATCGGGTAAAAGACAAATCTTTGCCAAATCTTTGCCCTGCACGTTTAATTGCCTCCAAATCAGATTTGATCTTCGGGTCAAGTCAAACCCGATCGGGTTTTTGGAAAACTCGGTCGGGTTTTTGACTATTTTCCCAAATTTTCACTTTCTCTTGTTGCCTTGCACTTTCCTTGACCTTTTCAGGACCCTTTTGATGATTTTTACCTAGTTTAAGTTAAGAAAATCCCTAATCCAAACAAATTACAAACAAATAGGAAAAATAAAACATGACACCTAAAGTGTGTAATTTCCCAAATAACAACAAATAAAACTAGTTAAAATTATACACATAAACGAACATAATTCTATACTATCACATACCCGATCAGGTATTGCATATAATTGATCGGGTGTGATACCAAATCAGATTTTTCACATTTCTTTGTTTCCCATGAAGCTTTCTCTTGTCTCCAATGCTCATTCCTTATGCTCCCAAGCTCCTTCCCCTTCTTTTCATCATGTTTTTGCTTACATGTCAAAATATCTTAATATCTTCTAATTCTAGTTTAATTTTAGAAGATAAAGATAACATCATAATTGTACAATAGCCAAGTAAACACAATGTAAATCATTCTAAAATGTGGTGTTTGTGCACTACTAAATAGTACATATCAATGTGTGTGATACCAATATGTGGGAAGTAAAAGAGAAATTTAATATAAACTTCAATATATTAAATTTGCTCTGATCATGGTGTTGATGTTGAGCTTGATGTGACTCCTCATATTTTAGACCTTACATGTTCCTAGATAATAATTACTATAGGAGCGGGTTACAAAAGACTTTTCTTATCCACAAGGAATACTAAGAGACTAATAATTAGTAACTCCAAGTTTAATTTAATTTAATTAATATCCAACAATAATAGGTCAGCCCACCCCATTTTCGGAAAAACTTTTGATTTTAAGTGTAAAAAATTATGAAACAGTTATTTGAATAATTATGTTTCCCAGCCCAACAGGGCAACTGCTATATGCTACTGGCTACGCCACTCATTATGTGCGAGCCACGACAAGCATTTTTATGTATTTGTGATTGATCTTTCAGAGTTGGAGGCAAGGCTATGGCGGTGTTTGCTTCTTGTAGTCTGTTTCGTCGAATTCACGATGATCATGGATATATTTGGATGGAAATTGGACGTGCTGTTATTTGTTGGAGCCAATATAGAAATCTGGAAGTGTATGCTGACCATTCAGTTTTGTGTTGTTCCCGTGGAGGAAAAATATGGATTGATGGGAAGGACTGTAAAGTGCGCATTGGAGCTTTTCTCTGTGGGCTTAGCTATGGCAATGAGCTATATATTACCATATAACATCGAACACGCTGTTGTATTGGCTTGTTGGAGCTTGCAATTCTATGGATGGAGCCGGCTATTAGGTTGTTATGACTTGGGTGCTTGGGAAGTGTTTGTGACAGTACCAATGCAGGTCTTTCTGTATTGCTTTTTTGCAGGGTTGATGAACAAGGAGATGAGCAGCAATAATCGTTTTTTGCTCTCTGCTATGGCACTTGGCTTCTTGGGCAGTCTTTCTATTTACCGTTTTCGCACCTATACCCCTCCTCCTCCTCCTCAAATCGCAGAAGAATATGATGTGCTACCTGATTGTTAACTTCTCCACCTATATTTTCACATCGTCACACTCCCTCTTAAACAATTCTTTTATTGAACATAATTAAATTTTATACTATTCACATTTCTATTTTAATTACATTTTATGGAGTATTTAGTAATTTATGATCATTAATTTTTTTAAAATATCGTTCAAAAAAACAATTGTTTGCCTACGGTTTGAGAAACGGAAAACACAAAATCAAAACCGTTGCTGACAAACGTAGAGACGGAAAAGTGAAGGTTTTTTTTGTCGGAATATGTTGGTTGCAAATATTAGCTACGGTGTAGCGGGATTTTTTATCTTGCGACGATTTAAAAAAAAATAACGGTTGCCAAAGAGCACCGCACCATTTTCCTTAGTGATGGATTTAATCGTCGCAATAATAATTTATTTCAAAAAAAAAATATTCTGATAATTTTTCTGCCTAGATCAAATTGACCATTCTAAAAAGAAAAGCCAAAACCTTGGTGCATCTCCTTCGATTCTACTCTTGATTTTGCCAAAGGATTCTGAAAAGATAATGAATTTAAATAATTATGTTACATCCATCTTGATTCTGTATCCATAAGTTATTGATAACCTGACGTGCACTTGTCGTGAAGTGCACTGAAAATAAATACAATACAACGAATATACGTAGTATAACGAAGTAAGGTTCGTATCCACAGGGAAAGGAATATTTATCTTTTATAATAACAGTAACGAAAGGGGGTTTTTTTGAGTTTGATTTGATTTAATTTAATTAACACTAAGATGAACAACGTATATGAGTTTGAATAATAGAGATGCAGACTTGGTTTTGCTTTTATCCACTTAATGAAATGTTCGTCGATCCCGGATATATCTTTAACTATCTTCCTCTCGAATACTCAATCGAGGAGTATATCCAGTTCATCGAGGGCAGTTATTAATAACGAGATGCGTTCATTAATAAAACTTACTATCGAGTCAACATAGAACAAGCGTTGTATATTAATTCGATAGTAGCAATAAGCTTAAGATGAAAACGATTGAGATTGATAACCTCAACACAAACGGTTTATTGGTTTAATCAATATAATTAATTCCCCTTGGTGTATTCATCATGAGATGCATGCATTAATAATCCAAGTTTACTACCGTTGAATGAATCGAATTAATAACAAGCGTATTAATCGATTGATTTTAGTAATAATTAATATATGAAACAAAACTAGTTAATCTTTTAAGTAATGTTCAAAATATTAACATGAAATATGAATAGGAATTAATTAATACTCAAGGAAGAATATTAAAGAATATGAATCCTACTATAGTTAATATCAAGATGTTAACTATTGTCATCTTAGTAACACTCCCGAATATTAACATAGAGGAAGAAATAACTATTACTATAACCAATGTCAAGATGTTAACTAATTGTCATCTTAGTAACACTCCCCAACTTTGATATAGAAATAGTATTTTAAAGGAAGAATTAATATTCAAGGAAGAAGATTAAAGAAAATAACTTACAACTTACAAATTCATTAAGCTTCAAAGTAGCAAAACCAAGATGGAAGAGTTTAGCTCCTCATTTGGAGAGTAAACATGATGAAAATATAAAGAAAGAACTATTCTAGACTGAGCTTAGAAGTATAAAGGAATTGGTTTTTAATTGTGAAGGAATGGGTGTGTATTTATAGGCTCTTGGGATGCAGCTCGGGTACCTGATCGGGTATATACAAGGTACCCGATCGGGTATGTGTAAAATGCTAGATTTGAGGTATACTCGATCGATTATAGGCTAAGTTCTATAGGTATACCCGATCGGGTATGCTCTTATACCCGATCGAGTGTGTGTAGAAAGCGATATTCAGGCTATACTCGACCGGATTTGGGGTTAAATTTAAGAGCATACCCGATCGGGTATGTCGGTCTACCTGATCGGGTATAGACACTCGATCATGGTCAAAATCTTCCATGCATGTTCCTTTGTCCTCGGATCTGATCCGATTTGAAATTTCAACAAGATACCCGATCGAGTATAGGTCATACTCGACCGGGTATAGACCAAAAATCAGGATCTTTTTTTTTTTTTTTGCACCTTCCTTAAACTTTTGGGGTTCACCAACTGTCCTTTGAGTTGATCAAGACCTGTTTGAGCTCACAATAAACCTAATCTAAACAATTTACAAGAATTTAACAAACTAAACTATTACACCAAAAGTGTGTAATTTCCAAAGTAAAAATCACTCAAAACTGATTAAAAATACAAACATGCACATGGAAATTACATGATTATCAACTTCCACACACTTAGTTTCTTTACTCGTCCTCGAGTAAAGTCAAATGTTCACAAGTGTTTAAATCTTCCAAAGTTTCAACAATTTTTTAACAAGATAAACACACAAAGACCACCAAGGATAAAATATGAGTTTTAAGCTCAAATTACAAATATCATCTTGGGTTTTATGACCTTCTAGTGCTCATCTTCTCTTCTCCTCCCCTCTTCTTCTTCTTCTTCTTCTTCTTGAATCTTCTTTTCCTCCAAAGAGATTAAATGAGTGCCTGCAAAAACAAATATTTCTCTCATATCTCTCATTTTGCCTAGGAGTCTTTTCAGGTTTTCATCCTAGCATCTCTTTTCATTTTCCATTCTCCCCAACTCACTCATTTTTTTATAAGCCTTTTTTGCTTAGATTGCCCATTTTGTTGGGTTTTCAACCTAACTAGCATTTCTTTTCTTTTATTTATTCCCTTTTTTGTGTGCAAAAAGGGTAAAAGAAATTCATGCATAGTGAAAGGTATTAAAAATTACATACCATGATGAGTATCTCCCCCACACTTGGTCCAAGCATTGTCCCTAGTGCTCGCCTTCTCCGCCATAGAAGTTGCCTCCGAAACCGCCTACAAAGCTGCTATCAAATCCGCCACCGGTGCCGCCATCCCCGCCATCTCCTCCATCATACCCTCCACCCCCGGAGCTAGATCCTCCAAAGTTACCTCAATGAGTGGGGTCATACCACGAGGGTGTTGGAAGGGGGTTCGCCATAGTCTGAAAGGATCCCTGATGGGCGATGTAAGAATACATAGGTCCGTTGAACCTACGTTGATCCTCTTCATATCGATGACTGTCGGCTTCCCGGAGCTCCTCCATCCATTGAAAGCATGCCCTTTGCTCCTCCTGCATTTGGTTGAGCCGTTCTCCCATGGCCGTGTAGTTTGTGTTCATTTGGTTGTACCCCGCAAGTAGTTGTTGACCCTCCAAAAGTTGTTGGAAGAAGTTGGGTGGTGGAGGGTTTTGAGGTTGCTCGGGGATGTCTGCGTCCATGTCTTCATGACCATGGGGTCCGGCATAAGGCTCGTACTCGGGTTGGTATTGGAGTGGCTCTTGTTCCGGTTCTTGGAGGTGTGGTGGAAGGGCGTGTGGGAATAGGTAATGGGGTACCTCTACCTCTAACTTGTAGAGTAGTTTGGGAAGGTCTGGGCTAGGCATGAGGAAATGTTTGATAGGCTTGGGGTGTATGAGCCAGTTATACATGTTCTTCGGTTGGTCACCACCATAGACCGTGTGGGAGAAAGTTGTGCATCCCGAATGGCCTAACCAAGCCATGTCCATCAAACAATAATCGGGTATAGGGGAGTTGTCCGTATACCCGAACCTACTTGCCAAGTGCATAACCACCCCACCCAAGACAATTGCCCCCTTCGTGATGCTTTCCTTTTTTAAATGTGCCCACATGAGATTGCACAGGTTAAAGTCCACATGACGACGGAATAGGGCCACCGACATCAAGCACACATCCCCCATCCTCGTGTGGTGATTGTTGGGGCGCCCAAGCAAACTGTTTGCTAAAACCTTCAAGAACAATCGGAGGACGGGGTGTTGGACATGACTAATATACAATTGGGAGGAGCTAAACGTAACTTCTCCGGTCATCTTGGTCCACAGTGAATGACCAAAAATAGTGTTGTCGGAGATGGCTTTTTCGTAGGGGACGGGGATGCCAAAATGTTCGGCAAACTCATGTTTCGTTATTGAATAGGTGTGGTTAAACAAACGAAATGTGAGTTTGTCGTCCCTAAAATCCGCCTCATCATTTTCAAACTTCACCAAGCTCATGAATTCATAGATGATTCTTTTGTTAGAGTTGTATTTCATTTTGAAAATGCGGTTCATGTCCAACTCATGAAAGAATTGCTTGGTACTACTGTAAATGCCTAGTTCACGGAGAGCATTATGGCATAAGAAACGAGAAGGTTTTACTTGCCTTGTAATTGTAGCAATGAACCAATCTCGGTGTTCATTGTCGGCGAAAATGAGATTCTCGTAGCCCGGGATGGGTTCCATAGCCCTGGAGCTCTGCCCTTTGTCCTTCCTTGGTGCCATTTTTGGAAATTGGAGCTTGAAATTTAGAAAATCCAAAGATGGGGTAGGGTTTTCGGACTGTGGGATTTTTGAGGAGAACTTGGATTTTGTGGGTATGGGTGTGTAGAGGAGAGTGAGGGGAGTCTTTTGGTGGTGGAATGAGGTGATTTGATGGAGAAATGGGTGAGATATGGTAGTGAGAAGGTCCGAAAATAGAGGTTGGGGGAGAGGGGTTCGAATTTTGGGTTTGGAATTTGGGGAAGATGAAGTGATTTGGCCTGCGTTGGGGTTAAAACGCACGTATACCCGATCGAGTATGGTGATATACCCGATCGGGTATGGGGGACAGTTTGTTCAGGATTTCAGTTTTCCAACCATACTGGACCGTGTATCTTGCCATACCCGATCGGGTACTAGAGACAGTTTGTTTGGTTTTTTGAATTTCCAGCAATACCCGACCGGGTGTAGAGTCATACCCGATCGGGTATGTTTCTTTTTCCACATTTTGAGCCCTGTACTCGGTCGAGTGCTGGGAGCAGGTTCCCTTTGGCTTCACCTTTCTATGAGTACTCGACCGGGTATGTAATTGTACCCGATCGAGTATGCATGCATTCTTGAAAAATTATACTCCTTCGATCGAGTAGTGCCTCGGTATCTCTTTTTAAGCAATACCCGACCGAATATAAGGTGGTACTCGATCGGGTATGTCCCCAAATACTTCTAAACCTGTAATTTCTTTCCCTTCAAACAAGCGGTTAGTTCCCTCTCTCACTGATCTCTCAAATAATTAAAAAAAATTGAACTTTAAACACTCGAAATAACGAAAAATAAAAATAAAACTTGGGTTGCCTCCCAAGAAGCGCCTTAGTTAACGTCGCGGCACGACGTTATTCATTTTTTTTAATGTGGGATCGTGATCATCCCTTGTTTTATTTTTTGAGGCCCTATTTAGCCATTTTTCAATTTTATTTTTCAGTCTTTTCCAGTAAGGCCGAGGTTTCTTTCTTGCTACTACCTCAACCGTCAGTGGTTTATCTAGTGATTCCTCAATGCTCAAAATTGATTCTCTAACGGGAGAGTGAGTTTTAATAGAATTATAAATGTTATATTCTATTTTCCTTCCATCAAATTCCATAGTTAAAAGTCCGCAAGAAACATCAATCGTTGAATTAGCAGTTTTTAAAAATGGTCTCCCCAACAAAATGGGGACTTTGTGTTCATCACTCTCCATTTCAAGCACGTAGAAATCGACAGGAAACACTACATCACCTACCGAAACCAGTACATCTTCCACTACCCCTTTCGGGGAAACAGTTGATCTATGAGCAAGTTGAATTATGATGCTTGTTTTATTTAAAGGGCCAATGTTCAAAGAATTATACAGAGTATAGGGGATCACGTTAATTGATGCCCCTAAGTCTAACATTGCCCTAGAGTTGGTGTTTCCTAGCTTGCATGGTATAGTGAACATGCCCGGGTCAACACATTTTTTGGGAAGTTCTTTTCAAAAACTGTCGAGACATGTTCACTAATTTCACTTGGTTGTTTCCCCTTTGAATGTGGTGTCCTCTTGATTATGCATAATTCTTTTAAAAATTTAGCGAATCGAGGAACACTTTTCATTGAGTTAAGAAGTGGAATATTTACCTCACACTTGGCGAAAGTTTCATAGATGTTAGCATCTTTCTCTAGCTTCCTTGTCTCCCTCAGCGCCTCAGGAAACGGGGTTACTGGTTCATATGATGAAAGTGGAGGGATCTTGGTTTATGTGATCCCCTCCTCCGGCTAAACTTCTTCTTCAGGGTCCACCTCCTCAATCTCTCTATCATTCTTCTCTACCTCTTTCAATGTCGACCCACTTCTCAACATGATAGCATTCACATGTTGTCTCGGGTTTTGCTCCGTTTAAGATGGGAGTTTACCTGAATCCTTCGTTTCTAGTCGGTTCACGGCATTTGCAATTTGGCTAACTTGAGTTTCCAAATTGTTAATGCTTGACCTTGTCTCATGTTGAAATTACATCATGGTTTGTTGAAATTGTCCCATGTTTTGTTGCATGGTGACCATGTTTGAGGTCCAAGTCCGGATCATGTCATCAGTTGACATATTAGATTGATAAGATGTATTGGATTGTTGAGGGTTTCCATACCTCAAGTTTGGACGATCCCTCAATCCAGGGTTGTAAGAGTTTGAGAATGGATCATACCTCCTTTGTTGATGGCCTTGGAAACCCAAGGCGTTGACTTGTTCTTCTTGGAGTGATGGACACGAATCAGTGGGGTGCCCGATTGATGTGCAAATGCCACAAGTTTTCACTTCCTGAGTCTTTGGCTTTAGAAGAAGTTCTTTGACCAGAGATGTCAAACCAGCAACTTGGTTTTCCAACGAGGTGTTGGATTCTGCTGCGGCAACCTTTCGAGTTGAGGATCGCCCACTATGATGTCTGGAGTTCTCGGCCAACTCTGAGATGAGATTCCTTGCTTGAAAAGGGGTTTTGTTAACCATTCCCCCTCCACATGCCACATTCACCATGCGCCTATCTTGATCCGCAAGACCATCATAAAAAATAGAGGATGAGGTCTTGCTCTGTGTACCCATGATATGAGCAACTAGCATACAACTTTTTGAAACGCTCCCAATATTCATACAATGTTTCATCTTCTTTTTGCTCAATGTTGCTTATTTGTGTTTTTAAAGAAGATGAGATGGAGGCGGGATAGTACCTATCCAAGAAGCATTTTTTCTTTACCGCCCATGTGTCTATACTTCCCGAAGGAAGATAGAATAGCCAATCCTTTGCAGTGTCTTTGAGGGAGAATGGAAAAGCCCTCAATTTGATTTGTTCTTCCGAGACACCGTTGGGGAACATGCTTGTGCACACAATATGGAACTCCGAAAGGTGTTTGTTCGGATCTTCTCCTCTTAGGCCGTGAAAGGATGGAAGTAGATGTATGAGCCTAGATTTTAGCTCAATGTATTACCTTCATCGAGTGTAGGGAAGGTAATACACAATGGTTGTTGATTGAGATCTGGAGCAGTGAGCTCCCGTAGTGTTCTTGTCTTTAGAGCCATGGTTATTGGCTCTTCGGTCTCGCTAGAATGAGAACTAGCGCTGGAAGAATCTCTGATAGATGATTCCTCCAAGTCGGTATTAGAAAATTTACTTCTCAACCGCTCGAAGGTTTGTTCTATTTCTGGGTTTGTTTGATATGTGACTTCGTTTATGGAACAGTGTTTAACCATATACTTCACTAAGCTCAGAAATAGAAGAATGAGAACTCTTTATAATTTTATTATTATTATTTTTATTTTTATTTTTCTTGAAATACAATAAAAGAAAAATTATTGCTTTTCCCCGGCAACGACGCCAAATTTGACGTGCACTTGTCGTGAGGTGCACTCAAAATAAATACAATACCACGAATATACGTAGTATAACGAAGTAAGGAATATTTATCTTTTATAATAACAGTAACGAAAGGGGTTTTTTTGAGTTTGATTTGATTTAATTTAATAATAGAGATGCGGACTTGGTTTTGCTTTTATCCACTTAATGAAATGTTCGTCGATCCCGGTTATATCTTTAACTATCTTCCTCTCGAATACTCAATCGAGGAGTATATCCAGTTCATCGAGGGCAATTATTAATAACGAGATGTGTTCATTAATAAAACTTACTATCGAGTCAACATAGAACAAGCGCCGTATATTAATTCGATAGTAGCAATAGGCACATGGAAATTACATGATTATCAACTTCCACACACTTAGTTTCTTTACTCGTCCTCGAGTAAAGTCAAATGTTCACAAGTGTTTAAATCTTCCAAAGTTTCAACAATTTTTTAACAAGATAAACACACAAAGACCACCAAGGATAAAATATGAGTTTTAAGCTCAAATTACAAATATCATCTTGGGTTTTATGACCTTCTAGTGCTCATCTTCTCTTCTCCTCCCCTCTTCTTCTTCTTCTTCTTCTTCTTCTTCTTGAATCTTCTTTTCCTCCAAAGAGATTAAATGAGTGCCTGCAAAAACAAATATTTCTCTCATATCTCTCATTTTGCCTAGGAGTCTTTTCAGGTTTTCATCCTAGCATCTCTTTTCATTTTCCATTCTCCCCAACTCACTCATTTTTTTATAAGCCTTTTTTGCTTAGATTGCCCATTTTGTTGGGTTTTCAACCTAACTAGCATTTCTTTTCTTTTATTTATTCCCTTTTTTGTGTGCAAAAAGGGTAAAAGAAATTCATGCATAGTGAAAGGTATTAAAAATTACATACCATGATGAGTATCTCCCCCACACTTGGTCCAAGCATTGTCCCTAGTGCTCGCCTTCTCCGCCATAGAAGTTGCCTCCGAAACCGCCTACAAAGCTGCTATCAAATCCGCCACCGGTGCCGCCATCCCCGCCATCTCCTCCATCATACCCTCCACCCCCGGAGCTAGATCCTCCAAAGTTACCTCAATGAGTGGGGTCATACCACGAGGGTGTTGGAAGGGGGTTCGCCATAGTCTGAAAGGATCCCTGATGGGCGATGTAAGAATACATAGGTCCGTTGAACCTACGTTGATCCTCTTCATATCGATGACTGTCGGCTTCCCGGAGCTCCTCCATCCATTGAAAGCATGCCCTTTGCTCCTCCTGCATTTGGTTGAGCCGTTCTCCCATGGCCGTGTAGTTTGTGTTCATTTGGTTGTACCCCGCAAGTAGTTGTTGACCCTCCAAAAGTTGTTGGAAGAAGTTGGGTGGTGGAGGGTTTTGAGGTTGCTCGGGGATGTCTGCGTCCATGTCTTCATGACCATGGGGTCCGGCATAAGGCTCGTACTCGGGTTGGTATTGGAGTGGCTCTTGTTCCGGTTCTTGGAGGTGTGGTGGAAGGGCGTGTGGGAATAGGTAATGGGGTACCTCTACCTCTAACTTGTAGAGTAGTTTGGGAAGGTCTGGGCTAGGCATGAGGAAATGTTTGATAGGCTTGGGGTGTATGAGCCAGTTATACATGTTCTTCGGTTGGTCACCACCATAGACCGTGTGGGAGAAAGTTGTGCATCCCGAATGGCCTAACCAAGCCATGTCCATCAAACAATAATCGGGTATAGGGGAGTTGTCCGTATACCCGAACCTACTTGCCAAGTGCATAACCACCCCACCCAAGACAATTGCCCCCTTCGTGATGCTTTCCTTTTTTAAATGTGCCCACATGAGATTGCACAGGTTAAAGTCCACATGACGACGGAATAGGGCCACCGACATCAAGCACACATCCCCCATCCTCGTGTGGTGATTGTTGGGGCGCCCAAGCAAACTGTTTGCTAAAACCTTCAAGAACAATCGGAGGACGGGGTGTTGGACATGACTAATATACAATTGGGAGGAGCTAAACGTAACTTCTCCGGTCATCTTGGTCCACAGTGAATGACCAAAAATAGTGTTGTCGGAGATGGCTTTTTCGTAGGGGACGGGGATGCCAAAATGTTCGGCAAACTCATGTTTCGTTATTGAATAGGTGTGGTTAAACAAACGAAATGTGAGTTTGTCGTCCCTAAAATCCGCCTCATCATTTTCAAACTTCACCAAGCTCATGAATTCATAGATGATTCTTTTGTTAGAGTTGTATTTCATTTTGAAAATGCGGTTCATGTCCAACTCATGAAAGAATTGCTTGGTACTACTGTAAATGCCTAGTTCACGGAGAGCATTATGGCATAAGAAACGAGAAGGTTTTACTTGCCTTGTAATTGTAGCAATGAACCAATCTCGGTGTTCATTGTCGGCGAAAATGAGATTCTCGTAGCCCGGGATGGGTTCCATAGCCCTGGAGCTCTGCCCTTTGTCCTTCCTTGGTGCCATTTTTGGAAATTGGAGCTTGAAATTTAGAAAATCCAAAGATGGGGTAGGGTTTTCGGACTGTGGGATTTTTGAGGAGAACTTGGATTTTGTGGGTATGGGTGTGTAGAGGAGAGTGAGGGGAGTCTTTTGGTGGTGGAATGAGGTGATTTGATGGAGAAATGGGTGAGATATGGTAGTGAGAAGGTCCGAAAATAGAGGTTGGGGGAGAGGGGTTCGAATTTTGGGTTTGGAATTTGGGGAAGATGAAGTGATTTGGCCTGCGTTGGGGTTAAAACGCACGTATACCCGATCGAGTATGGTGATATACCCGATCGGGTATGGGGGACAGTTTGTTCAGGATTTCAGTTTTCCAACCATACTGGACCGTGTATCTTGCCATACCCGATCGGGTACTAGAGACAGTTTGTTTGGTTTTTTGAATTTCCAGCAATACCCGACCGGGTGTAGAGTCATACCCGATCGGGTATGTTTCTTTTTCCACATTTTGAGCCCTGTACTCGGTCGAGTGCTGGGAGCAGGTTCCCTTTGGCTTCACCTTTCTATGAGTACTCGACCGGGTATGTAATTGTACCCGATCGAGTATGCATGCATTCTTGAAAAATTATACTCCTTCGATCGAGTAGTGCCTCGGTATCTCTTTTTAAGCAATACCCGACCGAATATAAGGTGGTACTCGATCGGGTATGTCCCCAAATACTTCTAAACCTGTAATTTCTTTCCCTTCAAACAAGCGGTTAGTTCCCTCTCTCACTGATCTCTCAAATAATTAAAAAAAATTGAACTTTAAACACTCGAAATAACGAAAAATAAAAATAAAACTTGGGTTGCCTCCCAAGAAGCGCCTTAGTTAACGTCGCGGCACGACGTTATTCATTTTTTTTAATGTGGGATCGTGATCATCCCTTGTTTTATTTTTTGAGGCCCTATTTAGCCATTTTTCAATTTTATTTTTCAGTCTTTTCCAGTAAGGCCGAGGTTTCTTTCTTGCTACTACCTCAACCGTCAGTGGTTTATCTAGTGATTCCTCAATGCTCAAAATTGATTCTCTAACGGGAGAGTGAGTTTTAATAGAATTATAAATGTTATATTCTATTTTCCTTCCATCAAATTCCATAGTTAAAAGTCCGCAAGAAACATCAATCGTTGAATTAGCAGTTTTTAAAAATGGTCTCCCCAACAAAATGGGGACTTTGTGTTCATCACTCTCCATTTCAAGCACGTAGAAATCGACAGGAAACACTACATCACCTACCGAAACCAGTACATCTTCCACTACCCCTTTCGGGGAAACAGTTGATCTATGAGCAAGTTGAATTATGATGCTTGTTTTATTTAAAGGGCCAATGTTCAAAGAATTATACAGAGTATAGGGGATCACGTTAATTGATGCCCCTAAGTCTAACATTGCCCTAGAGTTGGTGTTTCCTAGCTTGCATGGTATAGTGAACATGCCCGGGTCAACACATTTTTTGGGAAGTTCTTTTCAAAAACTGTCGAGACATGTTCACTAATTTCACTTGGTTGTTTCCCCTTTGAATGTGGTGTCCTCTTGATTATGCATAATTCTTTTAAAAATTTAGCGAATCGAGGAACACTTTTCATTGAGTTAAGAAGTGGAATATTTACCTCACACTTGGCGAAAGTTTCATAGATGTTAGCATCTTTCTCTAGCTTCCTTGTCTCCCTCAGCGCCTCAGGAAACGGGGTTACTGGTTCATATGATGAAAGTGGAGGGATCTTGGTTTATGTGATCCCCTCCTCCGGCTAAACTTCTTCTTCAGGGTCCACCTCCTCAATCTCTCTATCATTCTTCTCTACCTCTTTCAATGTCGACCCACTTCTCAACATGATAGCATTCACATGTTGTCTCGGGTTTTGCTCCGTTTAAGATGGGAGTTTACCTGAATCCTTCGTTTCTAGTCGGTTCACGGCATTTGCAATTTGGCTAACTTGAGTTTCCAAATTGTTAATGCTTGACCTTGTCTCATGTTGAAATTACATCATGGTTTGTTGAAATTGTCCCATGTTTTGTTGCATGGTGACCATGTTTGAGGTCCAAGTCCGGATCATGTCATCAGTTGACATATTAGATTGATAAGATGTATTGGATTGTTGAGGGTTTCCATACCTCAAGTTTGGACGATCCCTCAATCCAGGGTTGTAAGAGTTTGAGAATGGATCATACCTCCTTTGTTGATGGCCTTGGAAACCCAAGGCGTTGACTTGTTCTTCTTGGAGTGATGGACACGAATCAGTGGGGTGCCCGATTGATGTGCAAATGCCACAAGTTTTCACTTCCTGAGTCTTTGGCTTTAGAAGAAGTTCTTTGACCAGAGATGTCAAACCAGCAACTTGGTTTTCCAACGAGGTGTTGGATTCTGCTGCGGCAACCTTTCGAGTTGAGGATCGCCCACTATGATGTCTGGAGTTCTCGGCCAACTCTGAGATGAGATTCCTTGCTTGAAAAGGGGTTTTGTTAACCATTCCCCCTCCACATGCCACATTCACCATGCGCCTATCTTGATCCGCAAGACCATCATAAAAAATAGAGGATGAGGTCTTGCTCTGTGTACCCATGATATGAGCAACTAGCATACAACTTTTTGAAACGCTCCCAATATTCATACAATGTTTCATCTTCTTTTTGCTCAATGTTGCTTATTTGTGTTTTTAAAGAAGATGAGATGGAGGCGGGATAGTACCTATCCAAGAAGCATTTTTTCTTTACCGCCCATGTGTCTATACTTCCCGAAGGAAGATAGAATAGCCAATCCTTTGCAGTGTCTTTGAGGGAGAATGGAAAAGCCCTCAATTTGATTTGTTCTTCCGAGACACCGTTGGGGAACATGCTTGTGCACACAATATGGAACTCCGAAAGGTGTTTGTTCGGATCTTCTCCTCTTAGGCCGTGAAAGGATGGAAGTAGATGTATGAGCCTAGATTTTAGCTCAATGTATTACCTTCATCGAGTGTAGGGAAGGTAATACACAATGGTTGTTGATTGAGATCTGGAGCAGTGAGCTCCCGTAGTGTTCTTGTCTTTAGAGCCATGGTTATTGGCTCTTCGGTCTCGCTAGAATGAGAACTAGCGCTGGAAGAATCTCTGATAGATGATTCCTCCAAGTCGGTATTAGAAAATTTACTTCTCAACCGCTCGAAGGTTTGTTCTATTTCTGGGTTTGTTTGATATGTGACTTCGTTTATGGAACAGTGTTTAACCATGTACTTCACTAAGCTCAGAAATAGAAGAATGAGAACTCTTTATAATTTTATTATTATTATTTTTATTTTTATTTTTCTTGAAATACAATAAAAGAAAAATTATTGCTTTTCCCCGGCAACGACGCCAAATTTGACGTGCACTTGTCGTGAGGTGCACTCAAAATAAATACAATACCACGAATATACGTAGTATAACGAAGTAAGGAATATTTATCTTTTATAATAACAGTAACGAAAGGGGTTTTTTTGAGTTTGATTTGATTTAATTTAATAATAGAGATGCGGACTTGGTTTTGCTTTTATCCACTTAATGAAATGTTCGTCGATCCCGGTTATATCTTTAACTATCTTCCTCTCGAATACTCAATCGAGGAGTATATCCAGTTCATCGAGGGCAATTATTAATAACGAGATGTGTTCATTAATAAAACTTACTATCGAGTCAACATAGAACAAGCGCCGTATATTAATTCGATAGTAGCAATAAGCTTAAGATGAAAACGATTGAGATTGATAACCTCAACACAAGCGGTTTATTGGTTTAATCAATATAATTAATTCCCCTTGGTGTATTAATCATGAGATGCATGCATTAGTAATCCAAGTTTACTAACGTTGAATGAATCGAATTAATAACAAACGTATTAATCGATTGATTCTAGTAATAATTAATATATGAAACAAAACGAGTTAATCTTTTAAGTAATGTTCAAAATATTAACATGAAATATGAATAGGAATTAATTAATACTCAAGGAAGAATATTAAGGAATATGAATCCTACTATAGTTAATATCAAGATGTTAACTAATTGTCATCTTAGTAACACTCCCCAATATTAATATAGAGGAAGAAATAACTATTACTATAACCAATGTCAAGATGTTAACTAATTGTCATCTTAGTAACACTCCCCAACTTTGATATAGAAATAGTATTTTAAAGGAAAAATTAATTCTCAAGGAAGAAGATTAAAGAAAATAACTCACAACATACAAATTCATTAAGGTTCAAAGTAGCAAAACCAAGATAGAAGAATTTAGCTCCTCATTTGGAGAGTAAACATGATGAAAATATAAAGAAAGAACTATTCTAGACTGAGCTTAGAAGTATAAAGGAATTGGTTTTAATTGTGAAGGAAAGGGGGTGTATTTATAGGCTCTTGGGATGCAGCTCGGGTACCCGATCGGGTATGTACAAGGTACCTGATCGGGTATGTCCGGTTAGCCTATAAGAGATGCAAAGGAAATAGGCTTTGTGTTAACTCACAAGACAGGTTCTGCTGAACACAGAGACCAGATTTCTGGAGTTAAACAATTTAAAGTAAATACGAGAATTCAATGCAGTAATTAAATGACACTAGGAATTTTTATAGTGGTTCAAGGAACAACTCGTTCCTCTAATCCACTGTTCCACTAAGCCTGTAAAAACTCCAATTACAAATCCTTAGTCCTAGCACTTAAGAAGCTATCCACGTCTTCTTCAAGTCTAGATGTCTCCTGTGATGCACTTCCTTGCTTCTTTTAAGACTGGTCCTTTCTCTGAGCTTCCTTGAAGTATCACCACTTCACTACTCTAGTTACTTGGACGTCCTTCTTGTTAAAGAAGAGTTCTTAGAAAGAACATGGGTTTCTCCAACTTACTTCGTCACAAAAGATGTGTAGATGAAGTGCTTGAAGTGTTGAAGAACAGTTGGAACTTTGCTGTTGTTGGAGTATAGAGATGTGAAAATATAATCTTTCCAACGTAAGCCTTTCTTGTTGATGTAGGTGAAGTTTTGGTCTCAAGAAAGCTTTTGAGTTTGAATCTTGATGTTAGAGCTAAGGTTGAGCAAAGATTCTTGCAAAGTTATCCGGTTGTTCTTCACGAAGTATCTTTTATACTGAGGTTGTCTTCCCGTTAGAGGAGGAGGACAACTGCATTAAATGCACGTACAGTTGACTTGACCAGTAGGACCTGGTAAGGTTGACGAGTTTCTATTTTGGGATAAACTTATCCTGAAAATTCGGCCAATCATCAGCTTTTACTCTTCAACGTACGGGGTGCATTAAATGAGCATTTAATGCGCGTACTGTAGCTTTTCCGTTCAAGTCTTCTAACCGTTGAACGAATCTTCCGTTGAAATCACCGGCTTAGATAGACCATGGAAATTCTCTAAGTGTCAGGCCTTCTGGTATCTTTAGCAGAGAATCAACCAGAGAAGGTCTCGAGCACTTCTATTGGAGTAAGCTACCAGAGGGTCCCTAGTCCTTCTGTCAAGGTAGTGGCTAACAGAGGGCCTCGAGTACTTCTGATCTAGTGAAGTCCAACAGAGAACCAGGAGGTCTTCTGCTAGAAGGAGTTCACCAGAGGGTCAAAAGAGCTTGTGTCTGGAGGTCTTCTGTCAGTCGACTGTACTAAAACATTTACAAAGAAAATTTCTAATACAATTTTCTAACGGGGGTACTCTAAAGTCCTAATTAATATATCATCGTCAAAATCTAATTACAATTATTCCTTATAACGTACAACCTCTTGAGAGGCTTCTCCTAGCAAATCATCAACAGAGCATTTAAGTTCATGAGATAACATTTCATCATCACACATCCCCACACTTAAGACCTCACCACATGCAGTGTCATTAGAATAATTACTCTGGCCCCCAAATAAATAATCATCAATACAATCATACATGCCAAGAAAATTACAACTCTCAGGTTGTGCCTCAGGATGGTTTATGACTTTTGAGAGTCGGAAAGTACAAGTGTCCTCTCCAATCCTCAAAGTCAATGACCCATCAGACACATCAATAATAGCACGAGCAGTGGCCAAGAAGGGTCATCCTAAAATAAGAGGGGTACCACGATCCTCCTCTATATCCATAACGACAAAGTCTACAGGAAAATAAATAAACTCACCAACCCTGACTAGGACGTCCTCAATAATACCACTTGGATACTTAATAGAACGATCAGCTAATTGAAGACACATCCTAGTGGGTTTCATTCCACCCAATCCCAACTTATCAACAAGAGAAGCCGACATCAAGTTGATGTTGGCTCCTAGATCAGCTAATGCATTTTAAAAACATAATCATGAATAGAACAAGGTATAGTGAAAGAACCTGGATCCTTGAGCTTTTCCGGCATCATCTTTGTCACCACAGCTGAGCACTCTTCATTTAGGTCAACCACAGAGTACTCCTCTAGCCTCTCTTTGTTGGTGATTAAGTCCTTCAGGAACCTTGCATATTTAGGCATCTCCGCAAGAACTTCTGTGAGTGGCATCTCCGCACGTAGTTTGCGCATCATCTCCATAAACTTGTATTCTCTATTGCGGTCCTCGCCCTTCTTGACACGAGCAGGGAATGGAACAACTGGTGCATTAGCCCTCTTGGCCTCTTGTTGGAGTGTATTCGGCTCGATGATTGCCTTACCCTCTCGCTGGCCTGGCTGGTCCGAATTGAACTCCAGCTCATCTTCAGACTGTCTTTGAATAGGTTTTGGGCTTTTGACTGGCTCTGCACTCTTTCCTGGACAGCTAGGAACATTACGGGCTTGGCTCTCCTTGGCATCCACCATTGGTTTAGGAACTTGGTTCCCAATGCGCAGATTTATTGCATTCAGATGCTCTCTTGGGTTTGGCTCTGTAGTGCTAGGAAGGCTTCCAAATTGTCTCCCGGAGGGACCTCCAAAGAGTCGGTTCTCTAGTTCCCGTATTCGCTGCTCATGTTGCAACTTAAGGTTCCTCAACTGCTGCTCCATCAATATCTTTTCCTCTCTTGCCCTTTTATCTTTTAGTTCACTTTCTTCTCTAGCCCGTATCAGCTCTGCAAGCACCAAATCTAGTTGGGAATGAGCTGAATTATCTTGTTGTCTGATATGTGGGAGCACATAAGGCTGGTTGCTAACACTTCCTTGGCCTCGTTGGTACCCACCTTGGCGGTTATTATCTCTCCACTGGTTTGCACCACTCTGAAAATTATTCCTCTGGTTGTTGTAGCCAGCAAAGTCACCCCAGTTTCCTTTAGGGGTGGGCGAAAATCCCGGTCCCGATGTCCCAAACCGAAAAATCCCGATACCATTCCGAAACTATCTCGATCCATTTAAGACGCAATTTTTTCATCCTGAACCGGTCCCGCACCGATGTTAAACGGACGGGACCGGGATAGCTATAAAATATCATGTCCTGTCCTGGTGTCCCGTTTGAAATTAATATGTTATTTTAAATTTCTAATGCTATGTAATAGTCAAACCCAATTAAAACTTTCTAGTCCTTAGTCTCCATAGTGTAAATTTATCTTATTTCATGTCTCTCTTAGTCTCATTTCTTTTGTTTCTTTTGATTAAAATTTGTTTACTAATCTATAATATATTATTACGTGCGAAATACCATTTATGATGGAATAACTACTACTCCAAATTATAGTGTTGTTATAAATTTAATATTTTCCAAAATAACTACTAGAATATATATAGTGTCTTTATAGATAAGATATTTAATTTAATGTGGTATTGAAAAATTACAAGTGTACTACAAAGTATAGAAATATTTTGCGCTACTATTCTACTAGAGGAAACACAAGATTAAGAGAACCAAAAAAATTTACAAGAGAAAATTAAAAATAGTTAATTAAAGGTTTTACTTAATTTTTTGGGGAAGCTAAATTTGCAAAAAAAAAAGTTACATCTTTATATTGATGTTATGCTTATTTTTTTATCACATTTCACAAATGCATATTTTATGGGACATCCCGAACCGTCCCGGTTTTTCTCGGGTTGTCCCGGTCCCGTTTTAAATGGGTCAACATTGGGATAAAGACTTATCTCGTACCGAACCGGACCGTTGTTATAAAACCGGGACGGGATCGTTCCGGACCATTTCCACCTCTAGTTTCCTTGGTATTGAGGTGCTAATGGACCCTCTCCTTTCTTACCATACTCCATAAGATTCACTTCCTAAGGTGAAATAGGCTCTTCAAAGGATTGAGGGCATGAATTGGTTAGGTGAGCTCCGAAACAATGATCACACGAAAGCACCATGTCTCTCATTGGATTCTGGGTTGGGATTTGTCGGACACTCCTCTGGTTCATCCCCTGGCCACCTGTTGGGAATTGGTTCTGCGCCTGGGCTTCATAGAGTTACTCAAACTTTAGGACAAGAGCATCCAGTTTTGCGGCAGCAGCTGTACTAGAATCAACCTCATATAATCCCACTTTCTGTGGGGCTCTTTCACTTCGCACATCATACCAGTACCTCTCATTTGACGCAATAGTCTCTACCAGTTCTTCACCTTCTTCTGATGTCAGGCTTAGGATTGAACCTGTTTCAGACGAGTAGTCCAGCTCCTTCTTGCTCTCTATGGACAATCCATTATAGAAGTGGAAGATTGTGTCCATGCTTTCCATGATATTGGCTGGACAATTAGATCAAAGCTCCTTGTATCGCTCCCAGGCCTCACACAATGTCTCGTTTCTCCCTTGCCTGGAATTTTGGAGAGCTGCCTTTGCTTTGATTCCAGAAGATGCTGGGCAGTATTGTTTCATAAATGCCTGGTACATGTCATCCCATGTGGCAAAAGTGTGACTGTCAAGCCAATGTTGCGCCTTGTCCCTCAGAGTGAATGGGAACAACATAAGTTTATTGGCTGCTTCAGTGACTCCATTTATTCGTGAAGTCCTGCAGAGTCGATTGAACCATAGCATGTGGCTCCTTGAATCTTCGTGTCTTAGGCCTCCGAACTGATTGCTTTGGGCTAGATTGATTAGCCCATGAGATAGCTTATAGTTAGCCGCTTCAATTCCGAGCATTGTGATACCATCTGCCTCTTGAAACTGAGGGGTAATCTGGTCATATAAACTTCTCATTGCGGGTGGTTGGCCATGTTTGCTGCTCTTCTTTTTCTCAGGATACTCTCAGGATTTGGGTTTAATGGGAACAAGCTTTCAGTCCCTTGAGATCGTGTTTGCACGCACTACCTGGATCTGTCAAACAAAGCACTAAAAGGAAAAGAGTAAAAAAAAGGGTGAGATAGTCCCACCCGCCTACCCACCACTCACGCTAGCAACAACTAGGATTTACAATGACGCGCTACTCCCCGGCAACGGCATCATTTGATCGGGGTAGTAAAACGAAGTACGATAGGAGCCGACCTCGAGTATCGTTCTTCGCAAGGAGTAGCGAAGGTCAAGTAAGTTCAAAGAGTGCTAGACACAAGTTCCAGTAGACATTAGCAAGCTATCTCGTTTGGAAAATAAATTTAATGACAATAAGATTAAATTAAGTAACCAAAAAATTAAATGAACGGATAGCAGCGAAATAAAAAAACGAGTAAAACAATAATCTAACTAAGGCAATAAAACTAACCTAAATAATCTAATTAAGGCAATAAAACTAACCTAAATAAACTAAATAAAAGATAGCCGAGATAGACATTACACCAACTAATCTACTAAAAAAAAATAGATGCAAGTCAAATTAATCATTAAACTAATCAAATTAAACATAATTAATTAATAAGTGAACTGGTTGCAAACAGAAGCACAAGAAAGAACTAAAATAGCACAAAGCGGATCCCTAATCTAACGAAGCAATTGAGAATTTAATCTTGCAAATGGAAATTGAATAAGTTGTAATGAATCTTGGAATAAACAAATGCAATTGACATATAATTATCAAGGCTCCAAACAGAATATAAAAAGATTGACAAACTAAGAGAAATCTATGTTTAAAGTTTGATTAAAAAAACCGTAGAGATTGATGTGGTGAGCATGAACTGATCTTGTGATTGGGCGCTATTTCTGTGAGGTGTGGCAGCAGAGATGCAGCTGGACGCCGCTGCTTGGCGTGGAGAAGAGAAGGCAGCCCCTGGTCTGATTTTCTCGCAGCCCTAATCCCCTCTTTTCTTTTTCTGCTGCGTTCCCCTGGTGTCGGTGTTTTCAGTGCGGCTTTGATTCGTGGGAAGAAAAACCGAGGTGGTCTTTTAGTTGGTGCTCGGATGTTTCTCCAAAGAACGAAACAAAGCTGTTGCGGCTAAACCCTAGTGCTGCTAAAATGACAAAGTGCAGAACGAATAGAATGAAGTTTCTCCTACTGCTGAACCATTTTTTTTCTTCTGGCAGCACACTCTTCTTCTTTTTTTCCTCGCTGAGCTAGGCCCCTTTTTGTTTTTCCTCCCTAGATTTCCTTTTGTAGCTGCAGATCTCTTCTTTTTGGCCCAAAGGTGCTTTTCTTTTGTATTTTCTGCTAGGTAATTAGTTACCTCGCTGATGGGCTTTATTTTCACTCTCGTAGTGCAACTTCGATGTTTTGGCAATAACTTTTTACTCAGGACTCTGAATTCAGTGACATTTTCACTAGTGCACTCCCCTTGACGTCTAGAACGCATCGACAACCTTCTTGACTTCATTCTAGATTTAGAAAATGCTCAGGATTTTTTCAAAAATATCATGTTATCCGGCTTCGGCCCTTTTTTGTCTTGCTCAAAACTCGTTCAAACTGGGTCAAAATACCTGCAAAATCATATAAACCCGCAAACCCACAGAGAACCCACAAAGATATAAAAACTAAAGGGTTTTCCCACTAATTAGTAACAAAGTAGCATCACTCGTGGACAAAACCGTGTCAAAACTGTGCCCAAATTGTGTCGCAATTGCAACTTATCACCCATTCCTATGATCTACCACATATCATACATAGATAGGGTCTATATCCTAATCATTTATCAATACTAAATCAAGTCTTATAGACTAAACATAACAATCCATGCAAAACCACACAGGAAAATTATCATTCGGGACAAATGAGCACCTAACCGGCGTCGGTCCACTTTCTCCTTTGCGGTCAATGGCCCGTTGACTGCCCCAACTGACTTCGATTGATCCGAAACTTAACCCAAACATTAAGTCTTAAACAATCCATATTTTCAATTTTGGCCATCCAAAACATCATACATGTTTTTATATCATTTTCATATCATTTCTCATGCATAATCTTTATGGTTCATTTCACATAAGTCTAATCATCTTGGCTAATCACATGCTTAAACCATTTTAAACATCATTATGAACATATATAGCATTAAATTAGATAATAGCATTCAAGGGTCATCCACTCACTTTGAATGAGCTTTAAGAAGTTCTACCCTTCCCATTTGAACTCCGGCGAAGCTCCGGCAAACTTTGACAAACTCCGGTGATAACTCCGACGACTCTTTCAACTCCGTGAAAGATCTAGGAACACCTTAGACAAGTTCCTAAAAAAAAATTATCATCATAAAACTCATATCAATACAAATAACCTCTAAAAGGTTATTTTCCTGCGAACCGGTCACTTTGTTTTCTAAGTCCGTTCTTGGACTTAGAACTACTTTCCGACCCTCATTCTACATTTCTAAACATGTAGAAAAAGCCTAGGGGCTCCTCATATGCTATACTAGTTATATGATAAATAAATGATAGGAGTAAAGTCATTAAAGATCTTCTCACCTTTATTCTCAAGGTTTTTCTCTACTTTGCAACATTTTCTTCTTCCTTAAGCTCCTTGCTTGCTTGAGCTCTCTTGGCTATGGAGAAATGATGTTTGCAGGGGTGCTCTCTCTCTCTCTCTCTCTCTCTCTCTCTCTATTGAGATGGCTAGATCGAGCAAAGTGATTGGGGTGGGAGGTGATGTGTTTCTTTTGTCTCAATTGTAAGATAATTGAGGGGGAGGTCCACCCAAGGCCATACCTACACCAATCAATCACTCTCACTCATTTTACACCACTCCTCTACTCCATGCAGATCTCAGAGTCAAATATTTAGCACACAAAACGTGGGGTGGCCCCCACTCATGTGGGAGGTCATCCCCTTATGTCCCGAACTGTACAATCGGTCCCGAAAGTTGTATTTCTCGGACTATTTTAATTATATTTTATTTTATCGCACCAAATAAAATATATCATACATTCTCAACCCATATGGGCCCTTAGAATGAATATACATTCCGCAACTTTAGTTTAGAAATCGCCGAAATCCATTCCGGACTATTACCCGATAAATTACCAATACTGGTAATTGGGCCTCGTTTGACCAACCGGTCAACCCTATGCCCGTTCCATGGCCCAACTAGAATATCCGCCACCATATACATGTTATCTATACCAAGATGAATATAATATGTGGTCTCAAAATTATCGGGTGGTCCCCGCTCCTGATACGGGCCCCACGTGCAATTCAATATTCACGCAAAAGTAATAACAAAAATATAGAACCTCGTAAATTCATTAACCATTTCATAAGGTTTAATACACGATTTACATAAAAGTAAATATATTTGGGTACAGTGTTACATTTCGTTTCTTGTTTCATAGTTTTCGATTCCATCTTGAATCCTGCCATTGATGTTGAACTATGACCTTCCATGGATGACAGTTTTTCTTGCACGAGGTCCCACGGTGGGCGCCAAATTGTTTAAGCAAAATTTTGATAAGCTAAAACTAATTAAAAAGAAAATTATATGTAGATAGGGTCTCGTACAAGAACAATAAGGAAGATGACAAATGAGCAAATAAGAGTAAAGTTCAGTGTGTTATTCGAATGTGAAGTTGCTGATTATAATGGGAGGATGTCCTGTTCATAGGAACGGTATTTAATGCTCTCATGACTATTTTGTCCGTTACTGACAGGTTGGTCGTCTGTTATGACGATTTTGAATTTGCCTTAAAGGTTTGTCGATTACAACTAATACATTCCTTAACCACATTAAAGAGTCTAATAATATATAGAAAAAGTTACAATAATTAAGTATAAGGCTTGTGAACACTCCATTAATTCTTGCGGTCAATCCTGTTTAATGTCACATAAACCATCAAATTCTTGTTCCAACACCCTTATATGAATAAATTTAGTTGTCAAATAAAAGAAACAAAGATTAACATTTTTATATAATTTAGAAACTTTGACAAATTTATTTGCACGTTCAATCAAAATATAAACAAAATTGATTTTAAAATTGTTAATTTTATTCACAAAAGTGGTTCTTCGCATGAATTATTATAATACTTGAGTGTTGGACGGATTTTTAAATCACATGGGCTAGTATGAAAAATTTCTATATCACGAGCGCACTTGGTGTTTATAACCCCTTCTTTTCTTGTCTTTCTTTATGTTTTCTTTGATCGCTTATCTTTACACTTTCACTTTTGTTGCGTAGCCTTTGTTGTTGTCTTTTCTTTGCCTTTTGTTTTATGAAGTTTTTTTATTTGATTTGTTTTTGAAGTTTTAACTTTTAGCGCAGTTTAGCTGCAATTTTTTTTATTTTATTTTCTGTTTTCTTTATCATAATGTACTAATAGGCATCTTATGTGATTTCAAAAATATCCAAGCATTTGTAATAAGCACAAACCACTTAAAACATAAGTTTCCACACTAAACTTAATCATAAGCAAAAATACAATAAAATGCAAAAAATGTTTCGGTTTACTCGAATTTAATAAGAAACACTATCAAAAGTGAGTGTAAACATAGAAAGAAGTCCGACTTAACACTAAACCCTCACATCAGGTTCTCATCTAGTCCTCCTCCTCCGTGGTCCCCCCATCATAATAATAATCATAATAAGCCCGTGCAAAGATGAGCAAGCATGTCAAAGTAATGGACAGTACGGTGAAAACTCTAAATTGACCCTCCCAAGTATAAACCCGAGAAGACGCTGAAATCATGAGTGTAGCATATATCGACAAGTCGTGTCTCATACGCACGATGCGTATGACACACCTGTTGATGTAATTCGCCGGATATACCTGCAAAAAGGCGTTAGAAAAATAAAATAGCTCGAGTCGCGTAAACGCTGTCCTCAAGAAAGTATTTCCGACTAGCGAAAACCTTTCCCCAAGATAAAACGAGCTCTTCGGCGTAAGCCGGTAACAGAACAACGAGAGTAGGAAATTATCAATCCAGCAGAGTGGTTAGCGGAAAAGATGTTCTCATTAGCTTCTAAATATGAAGAATAATATACGAAGTATATTTTCTTAAGAACAATGATGCTCTCTCTTTTTTACATAGGAACGTGCAAACATGTGTATATATCAACTAGGCCAGAGGCATCAACGTTAGAGTTTATTGGAGGATTATAAATATACTTTAAGGATAATAAAAGCTAGTAGCTCACAAATGGTTTTCATAACAGCTCTTTTATTGTTTTAAAAACTGATCAAATATCATTTAAGATGCCAATAGATAAAAGAGATGCACGTTAGGAAGAAAAACCATTTGCAACATTAAATATGCTATTTAAACTTTTTGTGAACAATTTATTGGATAAAATTTAATGATAAAAAATGAATAAATTAAAACAAGTAAAATATTTATTCATTTGAAATACTCCTATTTTTCCAACAACACCACCATGTCAATCCTAGCAAGTACACCCCGATGGCCGGTCTCCAATCTGCTGTGTTCCCAAGCTGCCCCAGAAATATCCCTACTAACATATCGAGTGCAGCCTCAAACCCAGCGACGCATGGAATCGGACGAATAGAGGTCATAAACTCCACAAATATGTCTGTCATGCATAATATCAACAGAACCATACTGGTAAAAGCATCCACAGCAAAAAGTGTCCAGTATGGGCCAACTCTCTGAAGTATGGTGAAGCCAGAAAAACCAGTCAGCAAAGCTGAAGCAGAAGTGAGCAAAATGATCATCAGCACCATGAGCGGATGAAATCTATGTCGCACAAATGCATAAAATGTGACAAATAAATCATATAGTAGATGACATATCCCTCTCATCATCTGTTTTTCAAAATAAAAAAGAAGGTGAAAGATCATAAATAATTTGCGAAGGGGTCAATAATTGACATTGATGAGAAATAATTATAAAAATTACAAGTGACAAATTGTGTTTGATGTGTGAGAATTGAAAATCAATTGGAATAAAGTACAATTACAAAATTTGATTAGAGTAATGTATTTGACATTGCATTAGTTTCTGCAACTGGCAACTTGTGACGTTTATTGACATTACAAGAGGTACAATAACAATCATTTATAGACTGAGAATCTGATGTTTTGTATTTTTACTTAAATAAAGACTAAACCTTTATTGGGGATGATAAAAGGTATGATGCATATGTCAAGCTTAGGCGAGGCAAGAATTGTGAAGCTACATAGAGGATTGAGCAAAAAGTGGAGCGTATGACACACCGTTATGATTTCCATCATACCAGTAAGTATTTGGGGAGTATTCCATAGAAGCATTATTAGTTTGACATAATTAGAAACAAGAACTAAGTTTTTTATTCAGTTGGGTAGATACTCATTCAATAGATCGAGGGAATAGTATTGATAGAGTATTGACTCTTAGAGAGAAATGA